TGCAGGGTCTCTAACCTTACTGGAACTATTCCAAACGAATCGAAATGAAAGTTTTCCAATTCCTTCAAAGATCGTATCAATTCTTAAAATCAGGCACCGCACTCGCGATCCCTCTGTCAATCAGTGTCCATGGCTATCACTGAATATCAAATGAAAATCCTGCCCGTTTGTATTATGTTCTTACAAAAAATGGAAATAATAAAGATATAAAAACAGCGTTTATGTTGTTCACAAGTGTACATTAAGTTACTCATATGAACAAATGATATTTTTTTTATAAAGAGAACGGGTATGGAGGTCACTGCAGTGTTAAAATAGCTTTTTTGTTTTGTTGACAATACTTACGTCATTATCTTTCGGTAGTAATCTTGCTTATTTAAATGAAATAAATATAAAAATATGATTTTTGTAAATATTAAAGTGTAGCATAACCGCAACGATGTTTTTTTCTGCAGTGTGTCTTAAGTTAGATTTAATAACTTATTCACAGCTTGTACCTCGAAGGACTCCTCCAAATATCAGAACTGCTTTCGCTATCTTTCTTATGTCATAACCTTTGTGTAAGTGAAATGTGACCCACACAATTTTAGCGGTAAGTTAAAAATCTAGAACTTTTAAATACTTCATTTTAAGTATCTTCGCAATAAGGCTTTAAAATGATTCTAGATTATTTTAAAATATATCGTACAAAATCAATCGGGTTTTATTTTTTAATGTTAGAACCGGTAAAGCGCCAGAAATATCAAAAAAATTGTAACAAAATATTGACATAGACCTAGAAATTACATTTATTACTTTATTTATTTATACACACACATAAACACAAAAATAACAATAATCAAAGAAAAAAAATATAATGAGAGATTTATTTTTTTCTTTTCTCATTCGGTTCGTTTCAAGTGTGTAATACGTGTGTTCTGTGGTTGTAATTGTCCCTGGCTCAGCATTATGCTGAGGTGCAGAATGTTCCACAGCGCTGGTCATTCTGCCAGAGACCACAGCAGCTAGTTTAGTGTGAATTGCAAACACTCGTACTCGCAAGCCAGTGAGTGTCCATAGTAAATGGTGCCCATTTGAATCCGGTTCTATAAATATGAAAAATATATATGATATATGTAATATTTAATATATTATGTGCCACAATAACATGTATTAGGTTACATATTTATTGTGGCATATAACACGGAAATCATTGCATTGAAATATAACTCCGAAGGCCCAAAGGAAATAACAATAACAATATTATTTTTCACGCAAAGCAAAACGTTGGTTCACAGCCAAGGACGAAAGCACGATTTCAGGGTTGGGAAGAATTTGCAAACCTCTAAGCGGTGCCTGCTATAAAAACAAATAAAAATTATAGAAATATTTTTTTGTCTAGACTATTGTTTTTTTTTTAATTTTTTAACCTATTTACATAATCACGTTCTTGATAAACTCTAATTTCCTCAAACAGAATGAAATAATACAAGCATATAAATTTTATTAAAATTAGTATTTTACATTAAATACATTATTTTCCTTTATTGTTACGGAAAAGTGTGCTTACGCATTTAAATGGGAACATTTACTAAATGTTTGACGCGTTGTTCCCAATGTGAAGTTCAGTAAACTCTAGCGCTGACATATCTCTATTTCTTAACATACTGCCGTCGGGTATTTTGGTGGGACGAGAAATCAGTCCCTCTCGCTGGTGCGTAACGATTATCTCAGGTGTTTGTAAAAATTCGACAGGGACAAATATATATTTCATCTTGCGGTCAAAATTGTAGGTGTTCCCCATCAAAACATAACGGCAGGCTTTTATCGACCTACCACGCACTGACGCTGCTGTGCATCCACTGAGAGTTAATCTATCCTAGTGCTGTTGGGTCTAGAAAGACCTGCCACGCACTGGCGGAAATATCATTGGGGGCGCATTTTGGCCCGCCGCCGCACCTGATGAAGAATTATGATTTTACTTGCCGCAGTGAACGTGTTAATGAATGCCTTTGTGTATGTGTGGTAAAAATGTTTCTCTCGAGTTCCCGTAGTTCCGAGGTGTAAAATGTATGGTATAGATAATTTTTGATAAAAATTTAAATCATTTAAGAACGTGGTTTTTATACAGGGAAGGGATATTAATATCCGCCTGATATATTCACAATCTTGAAGGGCGTATATGAATGAAGGCGTAATTAATATAAAACTTAATTAAAAACATACACAGGCCAATATTACTTTACTTTTAAATAATGAATACCTAAATGTGTTTTGTAATCACAATGTTTTCTGTGAAAAAGAATACGGGAAGCTGTCAGCACAATTATCTATTATGAATACAAATTGTTCTAGTGATCTAATCTCTGATTGTACCACACGTTAATTCCTTTAATTATGGATGGCATTACTTACAGAATACATACAATTAAATAGTAGTTCACAGACTGATTTTTGACACATGTCTATGCCCCGCTCTTGACATAAATAATTATAATGCTTTTCTATTAAGATGAGCATTGATCTTGGCCTAATGGCTTTAACTTTTAAGCCCTTTAAGGTTTCCAGCTTGTGCAGTAAAGGATTTTTCATTCTATGTGTTCAACTAATACGCACGGTAATGAAGGACATCTTCAGGCATGTCTCAAACAGTTATTAGATGTGTGGTCACAGGACAATATTGGGGCTTTAGTTCAACAACTTTGTTTTATAGGTGAACGCATATTAAATTGGGTCAATCTATGTTTCCGATCTTAAAAAATAGTACAGGCCATTTTTTACCTGTGACACTTTAATCAATATCTAAATATAATCCCAAACGCAATGCCATTGTTCGCTCATTCTGCGGAAGAACATGGTGACACAATTCATAAAATTTAGTTTTTGGACAGTTCGTCATGATTTCGGATGATCCCAACAATGTAGTATTTGTAATCCAAAATCCACTTTTTATCATATTTGGACTCTCCATTGACTAAATATTACGGCTACATTAAAAAAAAACATGTGTTTTAAATTTCAAATTAATCAGTGACGAATTTGATAGACGCTCATAGAAGTATGTGATTTTTCTAGAAAACTGTATAATTTAATGTTGTTATTTTTATTTTGTTTCAAAACAAACTCTTTTGTTTGCTTGTATGCCAATTTTCATAATAACAGAATATGAATTAAAAAAGTTATGACAAAAAAACCAACATGATTATATTATTTTGAAATAGGTGCCCCGTAAAGTTTACTATTTGTGAGATCCGTCACTATTCTACGACTATGACGAGTTATTAAACACAACTTACGGTTATTGAAAAATGTTTTTTACTGGTTCAGTAGCTCAGTTAGTAAGGTTTAGTTTACCCCCGCAGTGGTTAAATTCTAAGGTCTTGGGATTGATCTATAGAAACAATTACAAAATCTTACCCTGACAATGCAATATGTCTGTACGCTTAGTTACTTATTTAGTTTTAATAAAATTTAAATTAATTTTCTATTATTCCAAAACAAATGGATTTGTCGGAGTCGAGACTGTGCTTCTCTTTAAGTATTTCCTCGAAATACAAATTTGTTTTAACGAAAACATGTTTATAAATCAAGCATGTACAGTTTGTATGTTTTTATTAGGTACGTGTAACATTGATCTTGAAATTCTAATACAAACCCAACCTAGGAGATGTTTAATCAAATAATTATCACGTTCGAGCTAATTTTGCGGAATGACATACGGTTGTCTAAGGAAAAACACATCGTGCGATGTTTGATATTAAACTCGCGACTTCTTGTCCGCGGAAGTGTAGCTATGCTTTTACGGTTTACCGATTATGATTTGGTAAAATAGTATTGGACATTTAAGAAGAATAATATGCTACTATGGTATCCATAGGAAGTCAGTGATTCTGCCATATTTAGGTGATGTGGGACATCCGATCAATCGAAATATGGTAGTTATGGAATAGATCTCATAAAAAAATAATCTGTCTAATTGCTCCGTTTTAACTAAAGTACTGACTCTTTTCATCACAGCGTAAACAAAGTTTGACTAAAAGAGACGAGAGTGCTTTCCACTAAGTCTGGTTTAGTTTATAGAAAAGGGAGTAATTAATAAAATCATAGAATAAATATGCTTTCGTTCTTATTCAGCACGCACAGACTATATGTATTCTGGGACATTAGCACAGGTCATTTTATATTAAGAAGTTGATAGCTAACTTATAAATAGAAAAAAAATGTGTGCATTTGCTCTCTATGCGTGTAAATCATACCGAAATATTTTTATGCAATTCATCAATGACTTTGCTAAATAGGTACCTTAATTAATTTCTAAATTAATAAAACATTACGCAATACGCGACTGGTCGTTAATTTCTGAAGGCCTAATTTAAAAACTACGCAAGCTCCTCGCCAGCCTGTACATTACATACAATAAGGTCGTCTGTATAGAATATATAAGAATGCATTTAAATAATTCACGCAGTATCAGGACAGAAGAGGAACAAGCAACCAGTTAAGTAAGTAATTTATTAATTTATAATTTGTCATAAAGTGACTAGTTTTAAAAGTTCAAGTTGTTGTTCAAAGTGTAAAGTCGTGCTTTTATTCATAAAAAAACGTGTGCGTACTTATGTAGAAGCGTTAGAAGTTATACTTCTTTGGCGTAACAAGATAAAAATCTTTTTGAAAATTTTATCTTTCGCCTTATTCTACGTTTGTAGAAAAAACTACACTAACAATAGATAAAAGGTATTTAATTTTACATTGAAAGTTTTATTATAACGCATTATCTAGTTAAATAAAGTTTGTTTAAATATCATAAAAAAATATTTCTACATAATAATTAAAGAAATGGACATTTTTTATTTTAAAATGTTTACTATGCTAACTTCACGGTGTCGGTTTTTTGTGACGGTGTGCGGGCGCATCGTAAAAATTTAATCTCATCATTTTTCCCAAACGCGCCAAAAGGAGTGTAACTTCAAAAAGTTAACAAATATGTATCACATAATGCTAATATGATATTCTTTTCCAGAATGAAGACAATTTTAGTTTTGGCAGCAGTTGTAGCGGCGGCAGTTGCCTTACCCGCAGATACCTACAACCCAGCGTATGACAACTTCAATGCACAGGAGTTGGTTGACAATATTCGTCTTCTTAAAAATTATGGAAAATGTTTCCTTGTACAAGGACCGTGCACACCTGAAGGAAATGACTTCAAAAGTAAGTATTTTTTTAAATTACCTACCATAATCTAAAAACATAAGTAAGTGAAAACATTTGTATAATTGAAACTAAGCTAGTTGGCCAAAGGCCACTCTACAATTCATATTTAACCTTTTCTAAAGTTTCTAATACTACCTAATTCATATTTAAATATTGATAAATAACAGAAAACATCCTTGACATAAAACATAATATATACATATACATAAACTCAATCTTCAAATCAAAGATTCTTGAGTTTATTTGTTGCAAATCTTTTCTTCTTATATCATTAGTTATAAGAAAACATAATAATTAGTTATAACACAGACAGAGAAAACAATAGAAATAAGACCATTTATATTACATTTTGTTTGATAACATGTATCACAACGGTCAGTGTTTGACACAGTATTTTGGGCTTTTCCATTAAGATGACTCATTATTTAGCATATAAAGAGATTTTAATTAATGTCATTTTCAAGAACTGGGTTTATTTGAATTGTTAAATGTTTTTAATTACTCTACCAAATGTCAAGGTTATATTTTTTTTAACAATTAAATTTCTGTTTGCTTATTATCTTAGTGTAAGGTCCTGGGTTCAAATCCCAGATAATTGTGTAGTCGATAAATTGAAAAGAGTCCTCCATACCCCTAAGGTGTTTATTAGACTTGGATAAAAATAGTGTCACTAAGATTTATTTATTTTTATCATAAGTTATATTGCCTTTTTTTAACGTCATTTAATTATTTTTTGTATGGTAACGATTTAGAATGAAACCCCGCCGGGGTTGCGACGTAATCATTCTACCTACCTACCATCGACGTAACCTAACCTACCCTAACCCGTTTTTTTTTCTATTATTTGTTTTGAATTTTTTTCGTTTTGTTTTTATTTTTTTTTATTGTATACTATTATTTTATTATATACTAACCTAACCAAATAATAATAATTATAGATTTTTTGGACAGCTCCTCCACCCTTACGTACCAAAGCACAGGCATTTTGAATGAAGTGCCTGTCCTTTGTTACAGCGGGTGGGGGCTGCTCTTCCTCCGCGCCTCCGATTTTTATATACACTAAGGGTAGGGCAGACAAGACCACGTGGATAGTGGGGTGCTCTGATTAGGTTTTGGGTACTTTGTGGATATTAAAGTAAACACTTTATACTAGTAAGAATTAAATAATACAGAAAGTTGCAAACAATGAAATACAAGTACTAAATAGGAAATACAAACGAGTAGGTATCGATAATTTCAAAATTTTTCGGAACCCTATAATTTATCAACACGAAATTATCATCGGTTTTTCATGCAAAAAAACAATCGATTAATTAAAAAAGCGATTTTTCGACGAGAATGTCACATCTCTTATAACCAATAGAAACGTAGAAAATTGCGGATTGTTTACAAATTTTAATACATTTTACAAAACTTAAAATTTTTTTTTAAATACTTAGACGCATTATCGGCAGCAAAAATTAGTTGAAAGTGTTCCAATGAAGGTCCCCCGAGAATATCATAATCAGCATCATCAAATTCGTGTGACGTAATTCTAAATCCCACCGCAGTACTTAATTATATATTATTCTTACAGAGGTAATTCCTGAAGCACTAAGAACAAATTGTGCGAAGTGCACTCCAAAACAGCGTGAACTGATTCGTACCGTTGTTCACGGCTTTAAAACTAAACTTCCAGAAATGTGGGAAGAAATTGTCCAGAAAGAAGACCCCAAAAATGAATTCACAGCGTCCTTCAACGAATTTTTGGCGGCTTCCAACTAAGACTTATATAGCAACTATATAACACCAACTTACAGTTACAGCCCAGCTGAAATGGCCAATTGTATATTTAGTGATAAAAGATTGTTTAATGAACTTCAGACTCCATGGTTAGTGTTTCATTAAATTTAAATCAAACAGTAATTTTTTACATTTTAAACAAACTATCACCTAAACAGATTGTCTAGGACTCTAGACGTTAGCAATCTGTCAATCGCGCAATGACAATTGACCCTTCCAGATGGACTTTATGATACAGATTTGTTATAGCGTACCATTCCTAACTGTTAAACTTTATGGGCAAAATACTCTTAATTTGACTTAAGATTTATTATTTCGTATATAATTGTTAATATTAATAGAAAAGTAGAAATTGCAGCATTTAGTAAAAAACAATTCTTAATTAATATTAATCAATGTATTTTCTTATCATCACATTATACTTAAGTTTGAGCATAAATTTTATACTTAGCATAAGTTGATCTACCTGAGAATTTTATTAAATACTGTTTAAATATTTTCTTTTTATTTACCCCATACTCATGATCTTCCTGGAAAGTAGTTTTTTGAGGCATTTAGTCATTTACCTACCTGATGTTTGCTCCTGCTTCGTTCCTTAATGTTGCCTTATATACTTTCTGCTGCAATAATGGCCCTGCTGTGAACTTTCAGCTCTCATGAGGGATTGGAGATAAAGCAACTGACTCCAGCATACCGTATCCAAAGTATCATAGTTGGCACTCAGGGAAGAGTAAACTTTTATGAGATCTCTATCTGACATCTATAATTTAAAATGTAGGGAATCTCTTAGAGATAAATTTAAGGAAATTAATATACTTACCTTTCCCTCGCAATATATTTATGAAAATATTATGTATGTATACAAAAATAGTGATAAGTTTACTAGAATAGAACATACGCACAATGTTAATACACGGAACAAACGCAGGCTGCAATTTCCCCGTACTAGACTATCTAAAGTTAGTAATTCTTTTTTGGGAAAAGGGATACTCTTCTTTAACAAAATCCCAGAGGCTCTTTTATCTCTGCCTTTCAATAAGTTTAAGAAATGTATTAGGTCCTTACATATGAAATTGGCGTATTTCGTACTGGCCACTTTAATCACGATGTTCTCCTCTTTGGTAAGGAATTCCAAATTCAAATTTGTACAGCTATTTACTCATGTATTTGTGCTTCGATGACCGTCATTCATTTGTTTTTTTCTTCTGTTTTTTTCTGTTTGCGTCACTCATTTTACAAAATGGAAAACTTAAAATATCGCATTATTTACGATACGAGTTCCGCCGTGGCACTAGTGCTGCGGAAACGACTCGAAGGGTGAATGATGTGTATGGCGGTCATGTTGCAATAGAAAACACAGTTCGTTTTTGGTTCCAACGTTTTCGTTCTGTAAATTTCGACCTGCAGAACAAGCCCGTGGACGGCCTGAGACCCAAGTTGATAATGAAGTATTGAAGGCTATTGTGGAAGCGGATCCATCGCAAACCACGTCCGAGTTAGCTGCAGGCTGCGGTGTTAGTGATAAAACTGTTTTAATTCACTTGAAGCAAATTGGGAAGATTAAAAAGCTTGAAAGATGGGTACCTCACGAATTGACTGAAGCAAACCGGCAAACGCGCGTCGACTGCTGCGTTACATTACTGAACCGGCACAATAATGAAGGTATTTTAAACGGAATCATTACCTGTGATGAAAGGTGGATTCTTTACGATAATCGAAAGCGCTCAGCGCAATGGTTGGATCCTGGCCAGCCAGCCAAATCCTAGCGAAAATTAACCCCAAAAAAGTTACTTGTAAGCGTTTGGTGGACTAGTGCCGGTATTGTTCATTGCAGTTTACTCAAATCTGGCGAGACTATTACGGCTGATGTCTATTGTCAGCAATTGCAAACCATGATGGAAAAGCTAGCGGCTAAACAACCAAGGCTGGTCAATCGCTCCACGCCACTGCTACTTCACGACAACGCTAGACCACACACTGCACAACAGACGGCTTCCAAATTAGAGCTTCAATTGGAATGTCTAAGACATCCTCCGTACTCCCCGGACCTTGCTCCAACAGATTACCATTTTTTTCAAAATTTGGACTTCTTGCAAAAAATTTAACTCTGATGGGGCAGTCCAAATCGCCTTCACAGATTTTATTGATTCCCGTCCGACTGTTTTTTTAAGTAAAGGGAGCAATGGTTCATATTTTAATTAATTAAATATATTATATTTAAAAATATTCGACTTTTTGTTCCTCCCATACAAAACGCCAATTTCATATGTAAGGACCTAATATTAAAGAAAAGCTGTGTAAAAAGGCTTACTATAAAGTCAATGATTATCTAGTTGATAAAAGGGCCTGGGACTAGTGTTAGACAGACTACTTCTAATTAATTTGCGATATTTGTTTTAAAATAAGTGTTGTTTGATGATTTGATATTTTAAAAGAGTACCGAGAGTTTTTTACGCCGATTTTTTCTCTCGGCCTACACCCTCTGTCTTCTTTGCCGATGAGTAGGGATGCCTACAAATTCAAATTTAATGACGTGGAATAAGTGATACATGTATCTTATGTTCCTTAATAAACATATTTTATTTTTTATTTTATTTTTATTTTTCATCGTATCTCTGCCTTTTTAAATGTATATTTGGATAATGATTCTGGAGCTGCTTGTGTCAATAATGAAGCTGGGGCCTACGAGTACGTTAACAGCCACAGCTGCGTTGGAGCGTTAATTAACAGCTTTTTCCGAAAAATCCTTCCAGATGTACTTGGCTTTGTAATAAAACATTTTAATGTAGCGTTATAATCACTAACAAATTTGGGTATTGAACTTTTATCTATCACGGTCCGCATTAATGGCTTAATTGGCCGTAAATATAAAGGATTTCGAGCCAGCCACACAGTAACATATTATATTACTACCTGTACTTCATGGTCCTTATGATATCCTTTGTGGTACAGTAGAAGCCGTTTCGACCTCGCATGAATATAATGCTATGTAGAATTTTATTTTAAATGCCTATAGCTTCTCTGAGAGCAGTATTTGTCTAGTGGCTTCAGCGTGCGACTTTCTTTCCTAAGGTCGTAGGTTAGATCCCGGTTGTGCGCCAATGGACCTTCTTTCTATGTGCATTTAAAATTTGCTCGAACGGTGAAGGGTAACATTATGAAAAAACCGGCGAGACTTAGACCCAAAAAGTCGACGGCGTGTGTCACGCACAGGAGGCTGTTCACCTACTCGCCTATAGATTTATTTTTTAGCTTCTCTGAATTCAGATTTCAATCTAGCAACGCCTACAAACTCTTCGAACTAAGATTGATCTATTTATAAAAGTCGAGTAATCCGTGTAAAAATGTAAATGATTTGTTGCTGTTGGTTTATGTTGTTTCCAAATAGTATAATAATGATTCTACTTTAACAATTGTTTTAAATATTAGTCACTTAATAATGTTATCTATATTAATAATTTCGTCAAGGGGTACGGTAGACTCGATCGAAACCTTATATGAATAACAAATCATAAAAAAATATTGATTTTGAGTCGACAACATATATCCGCAAAATTCGGATTTGGAGAATTTCGTTAAATATAATTCGATGGCACTGACAAACAAACCGCTGCAAGTCGCCATCTTTGGTGTGAAGCAAAATATTGGTTTTGTCACTTTTTATGATATACTCTTTGAAAGTTTATTTTTTCTTTTAAACCTGAGATTGGCCGATTACGATAACAACCATAGAAAAAAGAATACTAATCATAACTATAAAAGTTGAAGTTTCAAATGTCATTTAATGTCATGTTAGTTGAATCTCATCGATTATTGTTTCTTCGAATGAATCAAAAACAGCTCAGAGCTACAATTATAACAATTTTGGATAGCCTGTACAATAATCATAGAGAAATGGGTCGAGGCATTGGTAAAATTATAATATTGCCATCAACTTATGTGGGAAGTCCTCGGCACATGATGCAAAATTATCAGGATTCTATGGCAATTGTATGCAAGCAAGTATGGTAAACCAGACTTATTTATAACATTTTACAGACCCGATTTAATTGCCAGAATTTTTAAACTTAAATTGGAGGAACTTTTAGATGACATTACAAGGAAACACATTTTTGGAATACCGAGTGCGTGGTTTTACACCATTGAATTTCAGAAACGTGGGCTTCCACATGCGCATATGCTTATTATTCTAAGAAATGAAGATAAACCAAATCAGTGGATTATGATAAATTTGTGTGTGCAGAAATACCTGACCCAGATAAAGACCAGGAACTTTTTCAGACTGTGTCAAAAAATATGATCCATGGGCCATGTGGTCCTGGATATATGAATTCACCTTGCATGAAAAATGATGGAACTGCCTCTAAATGTTTTAAAAACTACCCAAAGACATTTTGCGAAGAAACTAGAGATGGTACCCAAAATGGAGGTTATGCTATAATAAGAAGAAGAGACGACGGAAGAACAATAAAAAAGAAGGATTTCGAGTGTGATAACAGATGGGTGGTGCCCTACAATCCCTATCTATGTAAAAAATTTAATGCTCACATAAATGTTGAAATTTGTTCAAGCGTCAAAAGTGTGAAATATATAAATAAATATATTTATAAAGGTCATGACCGAGCAAATATACAAATCACAGTAGCGCCACAAGAGTCGAGTGATCAATCGACATTAAGCAATGAACACCATGATGAAATTAAGGCTTATATTGATACCAGGTATGTTTCGGCCCCTGAAGCAGTTTGGCGAATATTTGAATTTTCAATGCACAGAATGAGTCACACAATTATACAGTTAGGCGTTCATTTGGAAAACCAACAAACTGTCGTATTTACAGATCAGAACGTTCATGTTGCAGCAGCTAGATCTGCTGGAAAATCAACATTATTAGCATTTTTTAAACTAAACAGAACAGAAGTAAGTGCTCGACAATATCTTTACACCGAAATTCCGACACATTTCAGATTTATCCATGGACAGTGGCAACCACGAATATCTCAGTCAGCGGCTGATAAAGTAATTGAAAGAATGTATAATTATTCCTTTTCTGATCGGGAACGATATTATCTCCGGCTATTACTTCTTCACGTCAAAGGGCCGACTTGCTTCAGAGATGTTAGAACTTATGAAAATATTATTTACAAATCATTTCGAGAAGCTGCTCAAGCAAGGGGGCTCCTTTTTGACAATGTTTACCAAATGCAAGGAGATTCGGCTGTTAACAAAATGATCAGGTATCATCAAACAAATAATAATAAACGAAGACAGAGACACGACCAACGAAACAGTTTATGAAATACTTACGATTTTCGGCATGATGTGTGTGATCCAAACGAATAAATCACTATGCGAAACTAAATGACATTTGAACTAAAACTTCAACTTTTATGGTTATGATTAGTATTCTTTTTTCTATGGTTGTTATCGATTATCGACACAATTTAATTATTTATTTTTAAAATTAGTACGTACTTAGTAGAGTAGAGAAAAAAACAGTGCTTAAAAAAAAGAGATTTACAGAGAGTAAACCTTATAAATATGTTTTGTTAATTTAGTCTTAGGGTGGGGTTCAAACCATTTGCTTCGTAACTTACGTTCGTTAAAATTTGACAGACACGTATGAACTTTAACGTCTGTTAACTGTTAGTTTGTTAAAAATGAGTTCGCATTGTTAAGGGGTGCCTGTTTGCGTAACGTATTTGACCTAATTTTATGGGAATATTTTTAGTAAAACAAATTGAAAAAACAATGTATTTGATACATTCTGTCAATTATTACAATTCACAAGATACCCAAAACGCACCATAAGCATTAATGCAATCAATGCTAGTCTTATATCCATTGTGTACCACGAATCAAGTTAAAGGGTTTTAGTGTAAGATTATAATTAATTAAGGCATAAATGGCCACCATAGTGATAGGGTCTTGCATCGACCACCTTAGGATTAGGTCTAACATCGACCAACTTAGAATAAGAGTCTCAATCGACTATAAGTTAAGAATATTAAGTGTAATTTCTTAATAAAGTTTTCCTTTAAAAAAACCTTTGAATACCGTCGGATTGACTATTTGACAAATTTTTGTTGTGTAGAAAGGATAATTTTAAAAGTGTTTAATTTTAATATAAATAATGGGAACCTTTTCGCCAAAGTAAGTATAAAGTATTATTTTATTATTATATTGCATGAATTGTATATGCGCAAAGATAAAAATTGAAAGATAAGTAGAAGAATTTACGACTCATTGACTTTCAGAGAACGTTCGGTAAATTTTGGAAAAGAAGAGAAGGACAGATTTAGAAATTTAATAGAAAAACATAAACACATCTTATTTAATAAAAAGACAGACATTTCTAACAATTTGCAAAAAAGAGGGATGGAGTGCGATCATGCAGAATTTAATGCCCTTTCAGATAATAAATATGAAAAAGAAAATTTTTGAGTTGCGTGTTCAACATCTAAATGAGAAGAGGAAGAACGATGAAATCATTTTTTAAACTACAAGAAAAAAAAATTACTTACTATAAATTATACTAAAAGGATGTAAGATTTTGAAAGGCCATTTCTAATGTAAAATGTATGAAAAGTGGACTTATTTACCTTTACAATAAAAAAATAAACTTACTATAACTTGATCAGAATTACTTGAAACTTAGTATAAAATGCTCTTCAAAAAATTAGAGTTGTGTGTATCAAGTAAAAATTAGTGTAAAAATAATAAAAACTGTAAATAATTTTTAGATGAATTAATTCTTATGTGCATAGGCAGGCATAACTATGTAATGTTTTAATTCGGTAATAAAAAGGCATATTCTTTTTGTCAAACATTTTATTTCTCCACCAAAAGCATGCAATAGCAAATGTTAATCCTTCACCATATTTCAATCATACATAAGTTATAATCTGAAAATAAGAATTAAAATTATAATTTGAGATTTTTTCTTTGAAGTTAAAAATAATCTAATATTAACATACCTTGCAAAATAAAATAATTAAACTATGTAATAAATTGTATTAAATTAAATTAAGAGAAAATATTTTGTTTGTGTCAATAAGTTAACTTTTGTAAATTAATAAAATCTGTAGGCTGAGTATAGGAATTATTTTTGACAAAATCATTTCTTTACCAAAGGCATGCAATAAGCAATATAAACAGTATAGAATATTTAGTCCTTCACATACCACCCATACACCCATGCCATAAAAAGATATAATCTGAAATATAGGACATTTTAATATTAATTTTGCAATTTATTTTTTTGAAGTCAAAAATAATGTAGTATTAAATACCTTGCAAAAAATTATTAATCAAACCATCTCTAATATTAATAGAGGAAACAGAGTTTAGGAAGTACGAACTACGAAGTTACAAACCAAAATTTGACGATTACCAATGGTTCAAGCACTGGTTAACGTAAGCGTAACTTTTTAACGAACGAAGCTGTCATGGATGGTGAATCAACACTTTTATTGTCAACGCGTGGCATTAACGGTTAGGTCAATTTGTTATGAACCCACCCTTAGTTTATTTTGAATGTTGATTTAAAATAAAAATAATTTGTGTTAAAACTTTTGCAGTTTCTATTTACTATATTTATTAAACACAACGAACGATGCTATACGAATCTATATTTAATATTCTTTGAGAACCGATGACTACAGAAATATCTACCTACATTTTGCACCTAGATGTGTATTATGAGTCAAATTTCACCCGAGCGAAGCCGGGTTTTCATCTAGTATAAATAAACGAAGCACAATTAAAATTCATTATGAAATAATAGCAAAAAATATCATAAATGTATATTTGCTCATTAGGGTACTCTTGCTTGGCGAAAGAAAAATTTTTTAAAACGGATTGTGGGTTCCAGATTATAAAACCGTTAAATTTAATATATAATAATGTACATGAAATACATATAGGTACTATTATCGTAAATCAGACTCCGCGTTCTGGATCAATATATCTATTTTGTGAGCAAACATCAAAAGGGTTTAGTCAAAATAGGTTTTAAGTGATATCTTTAGTATTAATTAGACTTTCAGGACGAATCAGCTCTGCCAGTCACGACTGCAACTATTTAAAATGTTATATTGATTAACTTGCGCTTACATCCGTTTAAAGTTTATTTGAACTCGCTTAATTTCATCAATTTATTATTTTGTTTATTCACACTTCGTTGCAAAAAAATAAAAGAAACACAATACATAAAAATTACAAGGGATGCAACGGGCAGCCCTATAAGGCGGGCCTAATAATATAAATACATATTTCTGTTCCGGACAACACTAGTAAGAGAAAATCTAAAAAAAGAAAACTGATGAGTGCAAGAAGTGCAGAACCAAATTTTATATAAAAAAATATAGAACCTTTATCTAAAGTAATGCAAAAGAAAATATTAAAAACAAACTAAAAAGCTAATCTTACAGATTTAAGAATAGCGTATAGCGATGCAATACAAAAGAAAAGGAAACTCAAGAATTACACAAGTCACGATAGATGAGGATAGGACAATTAGGTTTAGGTTTAGGTTTAAAGACTTTATTTCTCAAAAAAAGACAAAAAATGTCACTTACATGAGAATAATACTCTAGATAACATTAATCATCTTGTTAAATACTAAACATAAATTAATTGATTTCGACACCTTGAAAACTACCAATCGCACTGCTGAAGAAGGAACTACTTGACAAGGATACTGGTTAATAACTGAAAAAAATTTCTACGGAATCCTACAACAGGTCAAACAGGTCGACGGCAAAATGATTCTCGCATAATATCTCAGTTATATTTAAGAATTCGTGGCAATAACAACTGTTTGAAAATGAGAATATTTATAATTCTGTCATTGGTGACGTTGGCAGTTGCTGACATAAAGTATTACACTACAGCTGATGATAATATCGATATGGATACGCTGATGAAGAACTCGGAGCTGGTCAAATGACATATGGACTGTTTCGTCGATCGCAGGCCGTGCGAACCCTTCAGTCAATCATATAAGGGTTAGTTTTATGTAAATGGCCTAGGGCATGCTGATTAACGGCTAGATAATATTTTATTTTATTAATTAACGAGATCACAGAGGGGATTTGTGCTTAGAAGAAAACTGTTTTAGAATTTTTCAGGGTCGGTTTAAAGAATAGGTATAATGTAATACCTTCAATTTTAGTTGTAAGTTAACGGATAGTGAACATAATTCTTCTTCTGTACAAACATTACCTGTCCACATTGTATGCCTAACTTTCGTATTAACTACTAATTGGCGTGAGACTGATATTAAATTATCATGATTCATCTGCACTTTTTACTTTTTGTTTTTCATGTATCCTTTATTAGTTTAGTTTGTTTTTTGTTCCTGTTTAGTTTTTTTTTCTTAATAACTATATGTAATATGTATTTTTGCACTCTTGCCTACTTTATATATTATATACAATTTTTGCCAGTTTTTAAAGAATCATTCTTAAAGTCTGAGTCTGTTGTTAGCGGAGAGATACATCAGCGCTCATATTCTAAACGCAGTATTGGTTTTTTACTAGCTGTTTTTGCTTTTAAAATAACATTTTTATACCTCGAGAGGTAAACCACTAATTAACAGTATCAATGGAGAATTTGTGTTAATAATACTTATGTATATTATTTGTAAACTTTGTTTATTTTTTGTAGGTTTTAACCATTTTGAATTTATAAGGATTATTTCATTTAATAATTAAATATGTGTGTATATATGAATGTTTCTTTTAATATAAAGCTTTAAACGTTTATATTTACAATACTCGCCCATAAATAAATGGCAAAAAAATGCAATGAAAGTATTTGCACGGAACTCTTTAACAGGGGCTTATTTTCTTGATCCGTTTTGTTATTATTAATGATAATGGTAATGTTCCAATCTTTTTCTTCTGTTTTAAACTTTTACGCACACAAAATGGAGATTTTTTAAATTTTCATGATTTGTAGCTTAGTGGCTTTCCTTTCAGCTCTCCTATTCTAAAACATACTGTTTGCTGTATATGTTACTGTAAAAGCTCGAACTACGGTTAATCTTAAGATTTAAGTGTAAGTCTTAGGATTTACCGACATGAGTTGGTAAATGTAAGTATTTCTGAAAATACGACGATTTTTTCGAGCTTTTACCATTTGAATTCAGTATATGCTAGGTTTTACCACTGTCAGCTGGTAGGTGTTGGTTTTAGGAATAAAACAATGAGTAATTCTTAATTATTTACTTTAATGAACTATTAGACAAAACAGGTACATAGTATTATAAAGGTATCATATGATAGTAATAAGTACAAAGTAATACCAACTTATTTAAATTATTTTGAAAAAACACATAACGTATATCTCTGAATATCTCACCTACATAAGGTACCAAAAAAAACATTCCACTAATTACAAGATGGCTTGCTATTGTGGCATTTAGAATTACGAAGTAATCCTGATGATCTGCAGGTGCATTTTTTTGTTTTTCAACATTTACCGTGCCATTAATGTAAATCCTAAGATTTACCAACGGAATGGTGGTAAGAGTTTGAATCGCAAACCTTTTGGGACATTTACCATAAGCAATTGGTAGATTTTACTGGAATATCTTAGGATTTACTGCAGTTCGAGCTTTTACAGTAACATATACATATTATTTCTAGTCTGTGAAATTTACTGAGCAGTGTTGGTTAATCGTGCGAATCACGAATGTGCTTGACCGACCAATGGACTTTACTTTCTATTTGTGTATTTAATTCCATTCCTACGAAGAAGGAAAACATCGCGAGGAAACCGGTATGTGTTAGACACAAAAATCGGCAGCGTGTCAGGCACAGAAGGCTGTTTTTGTTAAAATTTAGTAACCGTTTAGCGTTTTTGTAAACGTTCGACTCGCAACATATGCGTTGCATAATGCGGGCTCCATACATCTGTACCGATTCTAGGATGCTGCGCACGAGACTGTTGGGTACTTAAAACAAAAACAAGCATCATAGAAGGTTTTTTTTGTAGTGCCCTGGTGTTATGTAAACGTTAGTTTATTGGCAAAAAGCACCCCTAAAGCCAAGAAACGACAACAAAAAATTGCCGATTACTAAAGTAATATTCAATCCATTTAAGAAAATAAGCCGATTAGCCGTAGCTAAATAACTTATTCAAACTCACATTGCCAGAAGGCTCGCAAGTGCGTTGCCGGCCTTTTACTAAGCTATACATTAGCATAGGGGTAAGAAGTGCTGCTGCGCTTGTTATTTACATCTGACTAAAAAGTATTTAAGCTTAGTGTTGAATTTGTTTTCTTTTTTGGAAATAAAACGCCATTTTTTGAAATCTTTCTAAGAGAAGTCAGTTCTAAGGGAGTTAACGCCGACAATCCCAGTGAATAGCATGTCCCAATCGCATTTTTTCCCAAAAATTGCGTTGCGGAAATTACGCTTAGTCGGGAAATTTAGGTTCTGGTTTTTAATTTAGATTCCATAAAAGGTACTTTCTGGAGTTCTAAAATAGCGGTCTTTAATAATGGTTACAATATATCGGTTATGTAGTGTGCAGTTTAGATGAAATGATGATGATGGAAAATATTTCCCGCATATAGGCCATCGTGTCGGGCAATCTATAAATATTTATACATACTACCTTCTTGCCTATTAGATGAAGAAATGATCATGAAACAGATACAGAAAACTGAGGCCCACACCTAAAAAAGTTGTAGCGCTACTGGTTTTGTTGTATCCCATCCCCAACGCGGCCTGTAACTACCAAACATAGCTAGACAACCAATAATATACATATTCTTAAAGGTTCTCATTTCGATTCCGATTTCGGTTCCGATTCCTAGCAACGGGACCCATGAATACCGATACTTTAGTGGTATTTTAGGAACCTTTTAAATCCCTGGTTGGAAGGTAATTTAGGATTACCGGCTAGGTAGATTTAAATATTCAAGGGAAGATGTAGTTTGTCCTATGTCAAACAACAAGAGTGGCTCACCTCACACATTTATTCTGGCCATTTCATTTATTGGCCGGTGTATTAAATGATTGTATTGCTATAATTAGATCCTAAAATTACACTTACGTCAAACACTGATAAGACTTATCAAATAGCTACTTAAATGTGAAAATTTTTTCATTAAATTTGTACAAGTAGAAAAAAATCCAATTACTAGGAATGAAATAGTTTCCTGCTTATCAGTTTTTGTACACTCATTTTAAATATGAAAACTAAAATTCATTTAAGGTTATTTTAATAATATATAAACTGAATACTTTTATATATACTTTTATTGTATGTTCTAAAATCTGGACAAGACTGCGAATATGTCACTAACATAAATAGCACGAGAGGTAACGCGGGTAGCGCCGGTCAGCGGGCCTCGACTCGCCCATAAATATTATGAGGATATTTCCCGGCGAACCCTTTAAGGCCCTATCTCAGCACGAATTGCTGTGTCAGTGTCTCGGGGTGGACTTCGGGGCGCAGTGGAGAGCTGGAGCACTGAGGCGCGCCGGCCCGTAATAACAATTAGTTATGTAAAACATTAAATTAATGTAATTTTATCAATTGTTTTTTTCCAAAATGGATGACTTGGCTTGCGATGAAATATATGGTGTAAAATTCAAAATCATGTTCTATATACGTTTTCGTCATAAAATGAATTCAATGTGTCTAAAATTGGCTATGTTTGATTTTTTTTATTTAAAGTTATTTAAATCGGGTATCGATCTTTCAAAATAGATACATAAACTACCCAACTCCACCATATATTTTTCGATTCGCCCTACTTCAAGAAACGTTGACAAAAAATTGAAAGAAACAATGTACTGTTTTGGAGTTTGGCAACCAGTCCTTAAGTTAATAAAGTCCCTTTTTTAGGAAAGTGGAGATTTCGACACTCCCCTGCTGCTTAGCTTCTCGGTCATGTATCTGCCTAATTCCGTGCATGATAGGCTATGATGTAAGGGTTAAAAAAAAAAGACTATTATACAAGTAATATTCCATTTTGTTTTATGTAAGTAGGTGTGAAGATATGCATGTCCGATTCACCTGGGAGTAAACGTGAGGAGTAAAACTGAACAAGTTGTTTTTTTCTAATAACTTTGTTATATTTAACCGAGCAGTTATAGAAATCGGTTAGGTAAATGAAGGGATATACCTAAACTGAGCAGTGTTGGCCTAGTGGCTTCAACGTGCGAGTCTCATACCTGAGGTCGCAGGTTCGATCCCCGGCTGTGCACCAATGGACTTTATTTCTATGTACGCATTTGCTCGAACGGTGAAGGAAAACATCGTGAGGAAACCGACATGTCTTAGACCCGAAAAGTCGACGGCATGGGCACTGGAGTTTGATCACCTACTTGCCTATTAGATTTAAAAATGATCATGAAACAGATTCAGAAATCTGAGGCCAACACCTAAAGAGGTTGCAGCGCCACAAATTTTTTGATATACCTAAACTTATGTGTTCAAGTGTATCCTTTCCTCAAAATCAAATATTACAGTTTTGGGAATTTAAAGTTCGATAAAAACTATGTTAACTAACCTCGGAGGGCTCAGACAGTCATTAATTGAACATTATTAAAGTAATTGCCTAATTACTCCTCTTAATTTTTATAACTTTTATATTTTTTTTCATCTATGGTATGGTATATGGTATAAACAATAACACTATTGACGTAGTTTTACGGTTGGTTACAGATACTGGCTAACTTCTTGAATATTAAACAAGGAAGTGGGGGAAAGTTTGCGCATCGTACAGATACGAGCAAAAAAAGTGTGTGCTGCCTGCTTAACCAACCGTAAAATGACGTCAATAGAGTTATTGTTTTTAATAACATAGATAATGTAAAAAAAAAATAACATTTATACACGTTTAAGAAAAGTAACTATTTTATTTAACTGTAGAATACTTTTTACGTATATTACTTTTAAAAATAGTTAGTTTTGATTTTTGTAGTTTGTTAGTGTATATTAGATATTATTGTGAGTTGTTTAATATAATATGCTATACCAGAAAAAAAAATAAAGAATATATTTTTTTATTTGTGTATTTATTAATAATACATCCCAGCCTATAATATATGTCCCACTGCTGGGCACAGGCCTCCTCTCAGAACAAGAGGGCTTGGGTCATAGTTCCCACGCGGGCCCAGTGCGGATTGGGAACTTCACACACACAATTGAATTGCTTCGCAGGTTGATGCAGGTTTCCTCACGATGTTTTCCTTCACCGCAAAGCTCGTGACAAATGTAATTAATAATGATTGTGGAAGAAATATTTAAATAAATTAATCATCAATAGTAGTTAAGATTACAAAGCAAAATGTATTTGTCGAATTGTCACGCAGTATTGAGAGTCGCTAGTTTTAATCGGTTTCGGTTTAAGAATAACTTTATTTCTCATAAGAATTGAAAATTCACTTACTGAGAAACACATATTTAAAACTAAGATTAAATATTAGAGCGCACAGATGTCGGTACATATATAAAATAAGAAAACAGAACAGCACCAAAAATGTGGGTAGACATAAAAAACTTGGTCAGTCAACCAAGCGAACACGGATGTTAGAATTTAATTTTTTCTAGATGTGGATTGATGGCATAGTCTGATATAAAATTTATATTATTATTTATTATTTTTTAAGACTATTTTATTTTTAGTTTATTCCTATATTTATATATTTAGGGTATGTACAAGGTTTATAAAACATATTTTACAAATTAAAATCACCTAAAGCAGATTTTGTATAAAATAAATTTTAAATGGTTAGTATTTAACCAACCGTAAAATGACGTCAATAGAGTTATTGTTTTTAATAACATAGATAATGTAAAAAAATATATAAAATTTATACACGGTTAAGAAAAGTAATTATTCAATTACTTTAATAGTTTTCGAGGACAGTTAATAGTAAATATATAGTTTTTAACAAACTTTAAATCTCCGAAACTGTAAAAGTTTGATTTCCCCCTCCCCAACAAAAAAGGCGTCCTAACGGATCCGGATGATCCAACCATAGCTAACGACAAATTAAAATCCGCCCTCCCGGCAAATAATAGTCAAAATCAGAATAAAACCCGCCTTCACCAGGAAAAGCAGGAAAGGTGGATCTTTACGTCGTACTTCACTGACTCCAGTGAGTTTTCGTCACCCGCGACGGCCAAGCCGAAATCCGAGTAATTCAGGAGACGCCCTTGCGCTAGTCGCGGGAAAAACGTTTTCAATTTATTCAGTTATAATTCCCTAATTTCGTATGGGAGTTTGTTGTAAAAAATAAAACAATTTTTATTTAAGGAGTGTTTTATCTTCTGGAGCCTGGTTGGTGAAACGCTTATATTTGTTCTGTTTCGAATATTACTGGTGAAAGTCACCATTTGTTTTAAAATTGTTTATATTTTTTTGTACATACAACAAGGCTTCAAGAATATATTGACCAGATAGTGTCATAATATTTAAGACTTTAAGTTATTCCGTAACGACTGCCTTAGGAAAACACAACAAATCCCCCGAACTGCCCGCTTCTGCACCACAAATATGGATTGAACCTCTCCAGCAGCACTTCACAGTAGAACACCGTAGGACATAACGCTGTGAAAGCAGCTATGATACACATTTTTAGTTGTGTCCTGATCGAGTTTAGCCTATTCGATAGAGTCTCTATGTGTGGGATCTACTGGAGTTTACTATCTATTGTTATGCCTAGTAATACAGTTTTGTCAACAAGGTTTAGTTCACTGTCCTTAACTTTCAGTTTACCAATATCTCGCTTCACGTTAGTAAATGTAAATCCAATACATTTTGTTCAAATGAAGGTATGCTGAATCTTCCCTGCAAGTACTAGACTCATCTTTCCTAGCTCTTACTACAAAAACAAACGGCCCGGTTTGTGAAGTACTTGACATAGTATTCTAACTAACTATAGGCGTGGAGAGGCGGACGCAACTGTCGCATCGCGTGTCGTGAAGCGGATAAGGCGTTGTGCTACTGCATCCCGCGTCTTAGGGCTGTAGTAGGTATGCGTAAGAGCTAGTGCTACTTAACGATCACTAAGCAGTCGTGCCACTGAAGGGTATGCACAATGCATTCCCAAGGGAAAAAATCTATTCTTAATGCGAGAGTACAGAACCCTCCATATAAAAAAATCAAATATTATCTGTTATTGCGTGAAACAAAACATTTAAAAGACAATAGATGGTCATTACTCACTACAACTTTCCTTACGAAAATAATAACTGTACATTTTAATTTACATAATTTAGATATAAGTTAAACATGCTGTTGCACAATACTTTAACTACTAACAATATACAATTCAATTGTAACTTAGGTACACTACCTAATTTAATGGACATAAATTGTATATTTAAAAATAAGTATGTATTGACAAAGGATAGGTTCCGCCTACCTAATTATTATTTACAACAGATAGCTACTATGCTATCTTACTTTTTATTTACAACTAAAGCTAAACATTTAGCTTTTCAGACAACCTGCTTCTATTGAGCAGCTTAGCTTAAAATAATGTAGTGATACTTGCAGTAGCACTTCATTAAGTATTAATAATTTAAATTAGATAGTGTGACAATAGAGGCAAACTCTAGCAATAATTTAGTACAACTCAGCTCAACACAAACATGTAATATTACTAACAACAACTGTTTAAACTTGATGCATCAAAACATGCAAGGTATGTTGGGCAAAGAATTAGAATTGGAGTTGTTTTTAAAATCAAGTAAAATTGATGTCCTATGCATTACCGAACATTGGCTTAGAGAATGCCAAATCATCTTTAACTTTGATCAGCACCAAGTTGCAAGTTCGTTTTGCAGATTGTCGGCGATTCATGGGGGCTCTTTGATTATTGTTAATAAAAATTTAAAGTATAAAGAGCGTAATGAAATCGTGTGTCTGTCTGTAGAACACTCTTTGGAAGTAGCCTGTATAGAGATTGAGAATTGCATTATTTTAAGTGTTTACAGACCACCAAGTGCATCTTACGATTTTTTTGAAGAAAAGTTGGAGGAAATTTTGTGTAAAGTTAGTTTTAAGAACAATAAGTATATTATTGTGTGTGGTGACTTCAATATAAATTTATTAGAAAATACCTCCATTAGTAAAAAATTCAATCTGTTATTAAAATCTTACAATCTTGTTAGGTTCTTGAGCCCACTAGAATTACAAGCTCCACTGCTACATGTATAGATAATGTATTTACAGATGCAGAGGCAATGCAAACCTCAATTACAACTGATCTTAGCTCAGATCATTGTGGACAATTAGTGGCGCTAAAATGTAAAGTGGTGAAACAAGTAAATAAGAGCAGTGTGTTTGTTCCAGTAAATAAAAAGCGAATGGTGAGATTTTTTTTCCTAGTGGGAGTGCCATGCTGTTGCCTTCGGGCTTCAGCCAAATGGGCAGGCACGACCGGGGCAGTGCCACTGTCTCTCAGAAAACCGGCGTGAAGTGATGCAATAAGTTCGCCTTATTGTACTCGCGTTTCGTGCGGTGAGAGAGACGAGACTCCCGGAGCCCCACCCCTCTACAAGAATTAATATGAAGGTGCAGAAAAAAAAAACAGAATCTACCCCAGGGGGGTACCACACGCGCTCGCGGTGGAGAATCCCCCTCTGGGCGTCCAACACCGGGATACTCTGCGCCCGGTGGTGGACGCACAGGCTGCCCTTCGTATTCTGAGGGGGGAAATTCTGCGCTCGGTAAAAACAACATTAATTGTTCTCGGGGCAAACGGAGCAATTCAACTAAGGCACCCCCGTCCACACTCGCCGTGGACTTCACAAATGTTAGGGGGGCTCAATTCCAACATCAACGCTGTCCACTACCACTTAGAGACTGCGAAGCCGGCCTTGCTCTTTCTTACCGAGACTCAGATATCCCCCCCGGCTGATACTTCCTACCTCTCCTACCCGGGGTACAAATTGGAACATTCATTTGTGCCGCGGGCGGGAGTTTGCGTGTACGTCAGAGAGGATATCTGTTCTCGTCGCCTCGGGACGCTTGAAGGAAGGGACCTTTCTAACCTCTGGCTGCGCGTAGACTGCGATGACCATCCGCGATTCAACGCATGCCTGTATAAGTCCCATCGCGGAAATACCGAAACTGACCGACTCATTGAGCACATCCAAATGGCTACAGATTCCCTGCTCGAAAGGGTTCCTACCGCTGAAATCGTGATACTTGGCGATTTTAACGCCCACCATGCCGATTGGCTCGGCTCAGAAACCACCGATCATGCGGGAAGATCCTTTCACGACTTTGCTTTGGCTTACGACTTGACGCAAATGGTCCCTGCGATTACGCGAATACCAGATGTGGATGGTCATAAACCCTCTTTGTTGGACCTTCTGCTGACTTCACATCCGGAGAACTACCAAGTCTCTGTTGAACCGCCATTGGGTTCATCAGATCATTGTGTGGTCCGGAGCATTGTGCCGTTCACGCGCCCTCTTCGGCCTAGCTTCACGGGCTGTCGCCGCGTGTGGCACTATAAGTCAGCAGATTGGGATGGGATGCGGTCTTTTTTGCGTCCTACCCTTGGGGGCCCATTTGCTTTTCGTCGAGTACTCCAGATGCCGTCGCTGACTCTGTCGCCGAGGTGGTCCTGCAGGGTATGGAACTTTTTATTCCATTCTCTGCGGTGCCGGTCGGTGGCAAGTCCCAGCCTTGGTTTAGGCGTTCTTGCAAAGCGGCTTTGCGCCGTAAGCGTGAATGCATTAAAGCCTGGGCAGAAGCGGTGACATCCTGTGATGTGACTATCGGCGAACGTAAAAAAGCATACAATTCAGCCTCCAGGTCCTTCAAGCGAGAAATCGCTAAAGCAAAGTCAGAGCACATTGCCAGATTTGGTGAGAAATTGGCCCACCTCCCTTCGGGAACTCGAGCCTTCTGGTCTCTTGCCAAAGCTGTCCAAGGGAATTTCTGTCAGCCCTCAATTCCACCACTGCATAGGGAGGATGACTCACTGGCCCATACCGCGAAAGAGAAGGCCGATCTTCTAGGCTGTCTCTTTGCGTCGAACTCCACTTTGGATGATCAAGGGAATGAACCACCGACATTATTGCGGTGTGATACTACGATGCCCGAAGTTATATTCCGGCAACGTGCTATCCGTAAAGCTTTGTCTTCCTTGGACATCCATAAGTCGAGCGGGCCCGATGGCATCCCTCCAATTGTGCTGCGTACTTGTGCTCCTGAGTTGGCTCCGGTCCCAACGCGCCTTTTCCGGTACCTTTACACGCTCGGCACTGTTCCGAAGTGCTGGTAGATCGCTTCGATACATCCGATCCCTAAAAAGGCGATCGCTCTGATCCGTCCAACTACGCCCAATAGCTATAACCTCCTTGTTCTCCAAAATAATGAAACCATATAACAGCCAGCTCCTGAGGTATCTAGAGGGCCACCAGCTGATTAGCGACTCAGTATGGCTTTCGTCGTGGTCGCTCAGCTGGTGACCTCCTTGTATACCTTACACATAGGTGGGAGAGGCAATTGAGTCCAAGGGGAGGCGTGGCGGTAAGTTTGGACATAGCGAAAGCCTTCGATCGGGTGTGGCACAGAGCACTGCTCTCGAAGCTTCCAGCCTATGGGCTCCCTGAGAAATTATGCAACTGGATTTCCAGTTTCTGCTGTTCGGAGCATCAAAGTCGACGACGAGCACTCCGACCTGAAACCTGTGAATGCTGGTGTCCCACAAGGCTGTGGTCCTATCCCCGACCCTCTTTATTCTGCATATCAATGATATGTTGCAGCTTAGCAACATTCATTGCTATGCGGACGACAGCACTGGGGATACTTTTTACACTGGCCGGGCAGGTATTTCTCGGGCTGTTGTCGATGAGTACCGGAACAAACTTGTGTCTGAAGTCGAAACTCTTCTACGTGGAGTCTCGGACTGGGGTAGACTAAATCTAGTCCAATTTAACCCCAAGAAGACACAAGTATGCGCGTTTTCCGCTAAAAAAACTCCCTTTGTCGCTACTCCCCTCTTTGAAGACACTCTCCTTAAAGCCTCAGCTAGCATCGGAATACTGGGCGTTGACATATCGAATAACGTTCAGTTTCGCGGTCATCTGGAAGGAAAGGCTAAATTAGCCTCCAAAAAGCTTGGTGTGCTCAGCAAGGCGAGACGGTACTTCACTCCGGGCCACCGCTTGCAACTATATAAAGCGCAAATTCGGCTCCATATGGAGTACTGCTCTCACCTCTGGGCGGGAAGCTCCCCAGTACCAGCTCCTTCCACTTGACCGTATTCAACGAAGAGCGGTTCGAATCGTCGACGACCAGTCACTTTCCGTGCGGCTTGATCCCTTGGCGTTGCGTAGAGATGTGGGATCTCTCTGCATCTTCTACCGCATTTACCATGGAGAGTGTTCAGAGGAGTTGTTCGGTCTAATACCTGCAGCTGAGTTTCATCAACGGACGTCAAGGCAAAATACAAAATACCATCCGTATCACCTCGACGTCCGTCGTTCCACAACAGAGCGTTTTCTAAGGCAGTTTTTGCCGCGCACCACCACTATGTGGAACTTATATACTTCTGTGGGCAGCTGGCCCACAGAAGTATTTCCGATCCAATTCGACTTAGGGTCGGCCGGCAACGCACTTGCGAGCCTTCTGGCATTGTGAGTGTCCATGGGCGGCGGCATCACTTAACATCAGGTGAGCCTCCTGCCCGTTTGCCTCCTATTACATAAAAAAAAAAATTTTAGATATAATATAGGTAAACACCTACCTTTATTACCGGTAGGTACTACCGTTGATATACAATACAACAATCTAAGTGATTGTATTAATAAAGAGTTCAACAACATCTTTACCCCAAAGAAAGTCTCTCATTCGCAGTGTAAATCGTTTAGTGATTGGGCGACAGCGGGAATTTATAAAAGTAGACAACGGTTGTATGACCATTACGCTGAAAAGTCATACAATCATAATGAAGAATTTATTCTTTATGTTCGAAATTATTTCAGAAAGTTTGTTACACGGCCAAGTCCTTAAATATCAAAAACAAGATTAAAAATAGTACCAATAAAACTAAAATGACTTGGAAGATAATTGATAGTGAAACTGGAAGAGTCAGGGATCGCAATCGAGACATCGAACTATGTGTCGATAACACTATAATCAAATCTAACGAAGAGATAGCGATTGTTTTTGATGAGTACTTTTCTGACATTCCAGTTTCGACTACTAACTCTCTTCAATCATCTCCCGCCCTCGCTGAATCGCTGCTCAAAGATAATGTAAACGAGTGCAAGGTCAGTTTTACATTCCGACCCATTGGTGCCGACGATATAGTGAGGATATTTAGAACCATAGATATTAAGAACACTACCGATCTTTGGGGTATTTCTGTAAAAATAATTAGTAGTTATTAGGACGTGTCATCAGCAAACAAAACATCAGATAGTTTTGTTTGCTGATGACACGTCCTTGATTTTTAAAATCAAACGACAAATAACAAATTTTGACGATGTGAACAATGCTCTGTCTTCGATTGTCCATTGGTTTAGTATGAATAACCTTCTACTTAATGCAAAAAAGACAAAATGCATTAAATTTTGTGCAAAAAATGCAAGGGTTATGGATACTAGACCAATTATAAACGGTGAGGAATTGAATCTGGATGATACAACTGTATTTCTCGGAATCACCATGGATTCAAAACTTCAGTGGTCCCCTCATATTAACGGATTGGCGAAGAGACTTAGTTCTGCAGCCTACGCGGTTAAAAAAATTCGCTCACTAACTGATGTCCATACAGCTAGACTTGTTTATTTTAGTTACTTTCATAGCTTAATGACTTATGGCTTATTATTATGGGGTCATGCTTCTGATGTCGAAACTATTTTCATCCTGCAGAAGAGGGCTATTCGTGCAATCTATAATTTAAAATGTAGGGAATCTCTTAGAAATAAATTCAAGGAAATTAATATACTTACCTTTCCCTCGTAATATATTTATGAAAATATTATGTATGTATACAAAAATAGTGATAAGTTTACTAGAATAGAACATACGCACAATGTTAATACACGGAACAAACGCAGGCTGCAATTTCCCCGTACTAGAATATCTAAAGTTAGTAATTCTTTTTTGGGGAAAGGGATACTCTTCTTTAATAAAATCCCAGAGGCTCTTTTATCTCTGCCTTTCAATAAATTTAAGAAATGTATTAAAGAAAAGCTGTGTAAAAAGGCTTACTATAAAGTCAACGAATATCTAGTTGATAAAAGGGCCTGGGGCTAGTGCTAGACAGGCTACTTCTAATTAATTTGCGATATTTGTTTTAAATAAGTGTTGTTTGATGATTTGCTGTTTTAAAAGAGTACCGAGAGTTTTTTACGCCGGCTTTTTCTCTCGGCCTACACCCTCTGTCTTCTTTGCCGATGAGTAGGGATGCCTAAAAGTTCAAATTTAATGACGTGGAATAAGTGATACATGTATCTTATGTTCCATAATAAACATATTTTTTATTTTTATTTTTTTTTATTTTAAATATATTAAAATTGCTTGCGTACTTTTAAAGTATTAATTATACGGTATTATTAACCGTATAATTAATATTTTCATTGTTTAAAATAAATATTATAATGTATTACTTCTTTATCGATAATTAAAATGTACTGTTTTAATTGAAAATAATGTTTATAAGTAACAACTATTTGCTAATTACGTTCAGTCGTTTGAAACGAAATGAAGTTGCTACTATTGTCAGCCCTACTCGGGGTCGCTCTCGCTCATTTATGCGGTAAATTTACCACCGCTGACGACCACTACGATGTCGCTGCCATGTTGAAAGATCCCGTTCAGGTGAAATATCATATGGACTGTTTCGTTGGAAGAAGGATTTGCGAACCATTTAGCTTTTCATATAAAAGTAAGATGTCTTTGATCAACACGATTTTTTTTTAAAAATCTTTATTTATTTATTTATTTTGTTATTAAGCTTAAACTACTAATTATTTTACAAAATCTTACATCTAAAATGTGTGACAATTAACGTAAACATAAATTTCACAAAAAAAAACTTATTTATATTGAAAAGCTATCGAAATGTCTATATAACTAGACTAGAGCTTTTCAATAATCGTGATCAGGGTGCCTTCTGTGCTTACTACGTGCCTTCGAAACAGCAGCATTAGAAGTAAATCTAAATAAAAACTTAGCTTCATTTAGAGCATTTTTTTTTTATTTAACAGGGAGCAAACGGGCAGAAGGCTTATCTGATGTGAAGTGATACCGCCGCCCATAGACACTCATACTGCCAGAGGCCTCGCAAGTGCGTTGCCGGCCTTTTAAGAATTGGTACGCTTTTTTCTTGAAGGACCAGAAGTCGAATTTGTTCTGACTTGTGATGACGACAAGTGGCTAAATTATTATTAAAATTAAAATGTAAATTATTCTAACATTATCTATTTCATTCGAAGGTTCTAAGCTGTTAATTTATATATTTTTTGATATATGATATATAGTAATACATAGCTTTGTTTTTAGAAAACATGCCAGAAGCAATTCCTACAGCCTGTTTGAGATGTACAGATGGCCAAAAACATATGTGGAACATCTTCTTGAATGGTTTAAAGAAATATTATCCCACTGAATATTTGGCGTTTCAACGGAAATATGACCCGAGTAATATATTCTTAGATGAGTTGATGAAAGCCGTGAAGGATTATTAATTTGATCTTTAAATTTTCCAGATTTATATATTTTATTAATATTATTTTATTTTTAATCAAATACCGATACAATTATTAATATTAAATAAAATATAAAAACAAATTGAAAATTTTTCTTTCCTGTGGTAGTGAAACATTAATGTTGGCAACATTTCCTCGCTGTAGGTATTGCGATACTTCTTTAAGAGAGGGAAGCACCAGTTCAAAGGTTACCTTACCGTCTCCGAGGCTCCCACTTAAATTTTTGATTAGTGTTCGTGACATTGTACCATAATATGATAAATTATTATAATCACTAAATAAAGGGTACATTTTATAAAAAAAGAACAGATTTTCATAATTTTTTCTTTAATTTTGCTCATTAACCTATTTATTTAATAGAACAGCAAATGTGCAGCAGGCACTTCTATTGTTAAGTGATACCTTCGCCCACTCTTAATATTAATAATAATAATAATTTTATTCATCAGACAAATACAGTCCATTGATTGATTAGTAAGTTAATGTCAGAGGGCTCCCGAGTGCCTTGTCGGCCTTTTAACAATTGGTACGCTCTTTTCTTGAAGGACCTAAAGTCTAATTGGTCCTGGTATACTTTAGTGGGTAGCTAGTTCCACATAATGTTGGTGCGTGGCAAAAACTGCCTTAAGAAACGCTCAGTTGTGGAACTGCGTGGTGGTGGGATTTTGAATTCTGCCTCGACCTCCGATGATGAAACTCAACTGCAGGTATTAATCCAAACAACTCCTCTGAACACTGTCCACGGTAAATGCAGTACAAGATGCAGAGAGATCTCAGATCTCTACCCAACGCCAATTCAATTCAATTCAATTCAAAAATCATTTATTCACGTAGGTAACACAATGTACACTTGTGATTCGTCATTAAAGAAATAAATATTCATGCTTCTAATTTTACATTTACTGCCAGTTCTCAAATCCAAGGGCGTAGAACGGAAGAGAAGAACTGGCAATAAACTCTCCGCCACTCTTTTTAATCGCCATGTTTTTTTTTTTTTTTTACACAACGTTTGTAAGGAGCTGCAACCATTACACCATGTTCCACATGACATTTTAAGTAATTAATAATAATAACATAAATAAAAACAAAGACTTGTCCCCTATCAGCAGGAGGCATGGTGAAATAGGAGCACGCACTTACATTCTCGTGGGAACAACACGCAAACACATAGTCGAAATAATTAACATCACCGCATACACGAATTCAAGTACGACCAGTCACCACAAGTAGCACCCGTTCACGAGTATGACGCATGGCCAGCTATCGGCCCCCTCGCCATATTTTAGGGAGAGAGACAACCCGACGCATGGACGCCGCCACAAGCAATGACATTTAAGCGAGCATGACGATCCTTGAAATGTGGACTTGGCTACATAAGAAAATAATAATAATACTGAAATAATTGGATACCACATGGATCACGGTTTGTTCCCACTTTACAATAAAACAGTCGTGGATGTTGACGATCACCCCAGAGTCTGGAAATGCAGCCGAGAGATTCAGTCGTTTTACCTATAATATATACTGGAGCAACTCATATCCAAGCACTAGGATCGTTTAAATATTCATTTATATTATAATAAGCCTTAGCCAGCAGTTTTACTTTAATGTACGATTTAAATTTATTTATTGACAACGCTTGTATCTCACTAGGGATTTTGTTGAAAAAACGTATACAATTGCCTTGGAAAGAATTACTCGATTTATGCAGCCTTCTGGTTGGTGCGCTAATTTTGTCTTTATTACGAGTACTATAATTATGGAAGCTACTATTCTTTTTAAAGAAATCTATATTTTTCCGCACATACAAAATATTCTCATAAATGTATTGACTTGCCAGAGTCAAAATATGTAATTCCTTAAATTTGCTTCGGACCGACTCCCGTGGGGACAACCCACAGATCGCTCTTATAGCCCGCTTTTGCACTACATATATCGATTTAATGTCAGCTGCATTACCCCACAAAATAATACCATATGACATAATACTATGAAAATAGCTGAAATAAACAAGCTTTGCTGTGTTCTCATCCGTAAGATCGCGTATCTTTTTTACTGCGAACGCTGCGGAACTTAGCCTATTCGAAAGACCTTCTATGTGTCGGCCCCACTGGAGTTTACTATCTAAAGTAATTCCCAAGAATACCGCATTATCAACAAAGTCTATTTTCTCGTCTTTAATTATTATTTGAGAATGACTACTTTTTACATTTGTAGTTACAAATTTAACACATTTTGTCTTCTTTTCGTTTAACTTAAGATTATTTGTATTAAACCAGTGAACTACACTGGAGATGGCACTGTTTACGTTATCAAGTGATGGATTTTGTCGTTTCACTTTAAATAAAAGCGAAGTGTCATCAGCAAACAGTACTATCTCGTGAAGCTCCTTTACAAGAAATGGCAGGTCATTTATATAGACGAGGAATAAGAAGGGACCAAGTATGGAGCCTTGCGGTACTCCCATAGTAACAGAGGATCCCTGTGATATAGCTCCATTTACATTTACCTTTTGAATTCTATCGCTCAGGTATGATTCCACAAGATTTAGCGCTTTTTCGCCAATGCCATAGTGTTGAAGTTTCTTGATTAGGATTTCGTGATGGACACAGTCAAAAGCCTTTGATAAGTCGCAAAAAACTCCAATGGCATCATGAGAATTTTCCCAAGAGGTAAAATCTCGGAAATTAATTGAATGCCAGCATCTGCTGTGGAGCGACCTCTTGTAAAACCATACTGCTGGCTATGCATAATTTTATTATTATTAAAATGTATCAATAATTGTTCAAGAATGATTTTTTCAAAGATTTTACTCAAAGCCGGCAGCACAGATATGGGTCTAAAATTTGTGGGGTCCGAAGTGCTGCCCGTTTTGAATAACGGTGTGATTTTACTTATCTTCATCTGGTCTGGAAAGACTCCACAATCTATACATTCATTAAATATTATAGCCAACTCTGAACTGATAGTATTGATTACTGATTGTAAAATGAAAACAGATACACCCCAAAGATCTTTAGTTTTTTTTATTTTTAGCTGTTTAAATGTTTTTATAATGTCATTGCAGCTAATGCGGCTAAATACAAACTTATGATTGCATACAGGAACATTCTTTTTCAATAATAAAAGGGCGGCTGATGGTGAAGAATTTAAAACGCTGGTTGTATTTAAAGGAATGTTAGTAAAAAACTCTTCAAATGCAGAGGCTACTTCGAGGTCGGAACTAATTACTTTGCCGTTTATATTCACTTTAAATTCATTATCCTTTCTGGAGGTTCTTCCAGTCTCCTCGTTTATAATTTTCCAAGTAGCCTTTATCTTATCAGAGCTGTTGTTTATTCTAAGACTTAAGTGTTTCGCCTTAGCGATTCTACACTCTTGCCTAAAACTTTTTGAGAATATCCTAACATAAGTTTTAAATTCTTCACTGTCATTATACTGTTTTTCATCATACAACTCATACAATTTTAGCCTTTTTTTGTGTAGCTCCGGAGTTGCCCAGTCACAAAAGGTTGGTTTCTCCGAGACCAAAAAAGTCTTTGGAGTGAACACATTTTTGAATTCACCAATAAATGAATCAAAGAAAGTGTTATATAAATTATTAGGGCATTGGTTACTACGCAAAAATGGCATTTTAAATATCAAATTTTTCCTAAATCTGTCTAACCGATCCTCTGTTATAGGAATTGTGCATATTTTCTTTTTCTTCTTTACATTTTAGTATTTCAAATTCAAACAATTGACCAGAGTGGTCAGATGTAAGTTTGTTGATAATACAGGCGTTGAGAGGAACTATATTACTATAGATATTGTCAATACATGTTGCCGTGGTGGCTGTTACCCTAGTTGGTACAATAAAAGTATTAATTAAATTATATGATTTAAACAGATTTAGCAAACGTTTACTTGAACTACAGTTGTCAAGCAAATTTACATTAAAGTCTCCACTAACGATCAATTTTTTCTTGGATTTTTGCAATTTGTACAGGACCTGCTCCAATATTTTTTCTAAACTATCATATTGAGCTGAAGGAGGGCTATACAAACTAACAATGATAAATTGCTCCAGCTCCACACAAGATACTTCTATAAGGCGTTCCACAGAGAGGCTCACTATGTCCTTCCTTTCTTTAAATTTTATTTTTTTACTAAGCAATATTAATGAGCCACCGTGTATTGCATTTCCCCTGCGGAACGAACTACCAATCTGATGATTACAAAAATTGAACATAAGTTCACATGTCTTTAACCAGTGTTCTGTAATACACAGTATGTCAACATTTTCACTGCTCAAAAACAACTCAATTTCTAGTAATTTACTTTTCATGCCTTGTATATTTTGGTGAACCAGATTGATACTATTGTTCTTAAATTTACTTAGCTTACTTTCTAATTCTAGGCCAGAGAGACTCTCTGTTGTCTTAGTGTCTAATTTAAATTAGATATACTATTTCTTGGAATATCTTCCAAGGTCTTACTAACTAAAACCTGCTCAATAGAAGCAGGTTGTCTAGCCAAATTCTTGGCTGTTATATACAATAAATATGATAGCGAATCAGCTATCTGTCTTTTAAAATATGTAGGGAGATTATATCTTTCCTTTGTCAAAAAATAATTATTACAACTAATGTACCTATTGGTATCAATTAGTGTAAAGTTTTTATTGTACAATGTTAATGTGTGCATTGTCTGATTTAAAATATGTCTCGCATTATTTTCATGCTGACTAAAGTGTTTACTATAAGAGAATGTAAACAGAATTAGATTTTTAGTATTAAGTAGGCACAATTTTTCATAGCAGCTAATAAGCTCCTTTTTGTTTAGATTCCCTCTATTGCCTATAAATATAATTAGATTATCCGCTTTACTGGAAGTCTCTCTTACAATGTTCTTTATAATATATTTAAAAGTAGCATTTGGGTAACAGCTGTTTATAATATTTTATTCCTTATTTAAAAATTGGCTCATTTGATGGCCTA